TACCAGGATTATGTACTTACAGCAGAAAGGCCATGTGAAGACATAGTAACATAACAAGGAGGTGGCTATTTATAAACAAATATAGTCCTCGCTAAAACCAACCCTGCTAGTACCTTGATATTGGACTTCCAGCTTCCAGAACTGTGGGAAATAAATTTGTTATTGGAGCCGCCCAGTCTATGGTATACTGTTGTGACAGTCCTAGAAGACTAATACAGATGACTTAGGTTCCTTCTGATAAATGCTCCATATTTACTATGTCTTATATTTTCCCCTTTCCTTTCCACAAGTGGTATGGCATATTGGGGCATAGGAAATGGAAGCTTATGTGATTTGATCCCTGTAGGAAATAATGGGGCCTCATGGCCTAATATTTATCTCGCTTTGACTTTGAGTGGTTGGTTGAATACAGTTCTTGCCCTGAGGAAGGCTGAGGTTCAGTGGCTCTGATTTTTCATTTGGGGATTATAATCTATTAGGAAAGACTGAGAAGAAATTTTCAAAAATCCAATACAAAATATTTAATTAAAGTTATCATAAGTGCTGAGAGAGGTACTATAAGCAGACAAAAGGGTCTTTTGGCAAGTTTTCCATGGAGAAATGACACCTGAGTTAAAAACCCAGGAAGCAACGACTACAAGAGCCCTCAGAAGAAAGAGAAAATGGTGATATTAAAGAATAGCAGTGATCAGGAAGGAGCACAGTGTACCCATGGAGGGGAAGAAGGGCACAGCATGCATCTGAAGAAGTCTGCAGAGGCAAATAAATAATTCAGGGTATAGAGTCTACAATATGTACCTCCCTTACAGGACATTTGGGAAGCCAAATTAAGAGGTTAAACTGAGGAGTGTCATGGTATGATTTGCAATTGCAAATGATTTCCGTGTGTGTGGAGGGCAAGCGAGGAAGAAGGAAGCCTGGTTAGAAGATTCTTGCCCGTACATTAAAGAAATTCTGGGGGCATACAGGAGCATGAGGGCCATGAAGTTAAAAATAGATGTGTAGGGAGCATGTTTTAAAGGTGACACAATCAAGCTTCGTAACTGACAGTTCACGGGTAAGAGAGTTACCAAATAAGAAAGAGTTCAAAGTTTTGGGGAAGAGGAAATGAGGCGACACTGGTATCACTAAATAATAAAGGGTATCCTGAGGAAGGAGCAGATTTAAATAGGAGGGGAAATGTTTGGGAAGCATTTAGAGAGCGGTATCTGTAAAGCAGGTGTGGAAATAGTATAGAATTTGCTTATATCTCATAACATGCTGGGAATTTTAGTAGATTGTGTTCAAAATTCATTACATATTGAACAATTTTGTAAAAACAGCCTCAGCATATGGGTCATCCTCTTCTGCATACCCTCAATACCATTGACGGTATAATCTTTTTAAGGTTGTGTCTATCTGATAGATTAAAATTAATTTCTTGTCTTATTTTGCTTGTATTTGTTTCATCAGTGAGTTAAAGATTCTCATGATTATTGACCATTTATGTAGATTTTTTTTTTATTAAGTTCATGGTAGTATATTCATTTCCTTGTTGTGTTATTAATCCTTGCTTTAATCTTGACAAGAAAGCAGCATGATGGGGCACCTGGGTGGCTCAGTGGGTTAAAGCCTCTGCCTTCAGCTCAGGTCATGATCCCAGGGTCCTGGGATTAAGCCCGGCATCAGGCTCTCTACTCAGCAGGAAGCCTGCTTCCCACCCCCTCTCTCTGCCTGCCTCTCTGCCTACTTGTGATCTCTGCGTTTCAAATAAATAAATAAAATCTTTTAAAAAAAGAAAAAGAAAAAGAAAGAAAGAAAGAAAGCAGCATGATATATTCATAAATCCATGGGCTTTGGAACCACACTGTCTTGGTTCAGATTCTGGCTCTGCCACTTAACAAGAGTGTGCCTTTAGGCATATTTTGAAAATCTTTGTACCTGAGGGTTTTTGTTTTTGTTTTTGTTTTTAAATGGAGATTATAGTAGTCTAAGGTCATTATAAGGATTGATTGAGTTAATATAGCAGACCACTAACAGCAATGCCTGGCAGTGTAAGCTATATAAATTGCATTCTCTCATCAATGTCACATCTCTTTTACTTATTCTTCTAGTTTTAATTTCAATGTCATCTTTTATTTCCAGATTTCCAAATAGTGCCAAAAACCAAGCAAGATATGAAACTAAGTTCTGGTTAAATGTCACTCCCCTTTGGTTATACAGGACTCTACCTTCTCTACCCTATCATGCATCAGGTTGTTTTGTAATTGTTTATTTAACTCTCTATATCAACCATGAAGTCTGAGCCAAGTAAATAATTGCAGTATAGTCACCACATAACAACAATCTGTGAAATAAATGAGGAAATGTGTGCTTTTAAGCTAATGTTCTTTGACTTCTCTTTTGAAAAATTTTATCTATCAGGCTCCATACTTGGCATTTGTAAACACACAAGACCAGTTAACACGGTGTCTATCATATGGAACAGATTCGTTTAATGTTTGTTTGTTGTTGTTGTTGTTGTTTCACATTTAGACTGTAGAAATGGTGCTTTTTTTAAGTTTAATTTTATTTTTTCAGTGTTCCAAGATTCATTGTCTATGTACCACACCCAGTGCTCCATGCAATACATGCCCTCCATAATACCCACCACCAGACTCACCCAAACCCCCACCTCCCTCCCTACCAAAACCCTCAGTTTGTTTCTCACAGTCCACAGTCCCTCATTTTAGAAATGGTTCTTGGGTGCCTGGGTGGCTCAGTTAGTTAAGCAACTGTCTTCTGCTCAGGTCATGATCCTGGAGTCCCAGGATCAAGCCCTGCATCAGGCTCCCTGATCAGTGGGGAGTCTGCTTCTCCCTTTGACACTCTCCCGCCTCATACTCTCACTCTCATTTTCTCTCTCAAATAAATAAAATAAAATCTTTAAAAAAAAGAAATATTTCTTAATTTTGTTAATGGATCATAAGTATTGTGAAGTAGGTATTATTATTGACTCACATTTAAAAAATGAAAAGACCTGGTCTGGTTTTCCCAATCCCATTGCCAGTACCCTACAACAGCTCATCTTTGACTCTAAATTAATTTATCTAAACCATCCTTTTATCATCCTACTTGATTTTACTACTGACCACTATGATCCTTTCCTCTTTTCTTTATCTCCCACTGACATCACAGCTTTGATTGATACCTTTCCTGTCAGGACTCTTTAACTCCTTCAGAAAATACTTTTGGCATACCAACTCTCCAGAACCCCACAGTCTGCTCTGGGTGATAGCATGTAAATGAAAATTAAAATAAAGAATGACAAATATGCATATATTTAAATATTATAAACTATATAGACATTTATTTTAAATATGTAAGAATATATTAAAATACTAATAGAGAATGACATATATATATCGTGTGTGTGTGTGTATATATATATATATATATATATATATATATATGAAGGTATGCACGGAGTATAAAGGTAATTCATAGAAGAGGAAATAGCACCTGATTTAACTCATTAAAAAGAAGTGGAACTTATCTACAAGAGTAAAGATGTGACTGGTAAAAACAATAACATAAACAAAGGTGTGGTGTATACAAAAGTCTTCCAGATCACTAGGTTCATGACAGGAAGTGGTCATGCTTAAAGCCAGATTGAGGAGAAACATGGAAGGCATTATATATCACAATCAGAGGTTCTGGCTTGATGTACTCTAAACCACGGAGATTATTTCAAGTTTTAGACAATAAAGTCCTATGGCCAGAATGTATTTATAATAATATATTATAGAATAAATTTATTTTGGCAGAGAATTTAAAAATGAAAGCAAGGACATTAGGCAGAAGAAAATTTAAAACACTAGATAAAATATTAGAGGATATAAATTAAGATAGTGCTGATAAGAAAGATGACAAAGATGAAGAATATTGAAATGTTTAGGAACTTAATTAGGCTCAATTTTGTAACTGGTTTAGGGCAAATTGTTTGAAATAAGAAATAGTTTAGAAATCAAATATCTCCATCTGGGGTAAATGAATGAATGACATCATTATGACTTGTAAGTAAAAACACAAGAGTCATATTTTTAAGAAGAAGTGTATGTTGAGGGGTTTGTTTTTGAGCATTTGATAGATATATCTAGTAACTACTTGATTCTATGAGTGTAAAGGATAAGGAGTTGAATACTGATATTAAAAAAAAAATTATAGTGCTAATTAGGGCCCAGAAGGAGAGATAACTGATGGAAGAATCTAAGAAAAATGATGGCACATTAACAATGGTTTCTGACTGTATGAACTAGAAAAATCACACTGGTTGTCTTAAGCTAAAAAAAAAGTAACAGAACTAAAGGTATGCTGGAGAGAAAATGGTCGGTAATCACAAGGAGTTTGGAGGCTAGACAGAGCCATGTGAATCTGGTCTAAGGGACATTATCCCTTGTTCTCATACCCCAACCCCAACTATATGGCTGCCTTCAATTTTATGTAATGACAAGTTCTGTTAAACCATACACCAAGACACATTAAAATGTGAGAGTTTATTTGGGCAAGTAAGATTTGAATGCACACCTAAACCAAAAGTGGTTGGGAGTGCTCTGCCTACAGGAGCTAGGGGAAGGCCTTTATAGGACAGATTAGGAAGAAAAGCAAGAAAACTATTTGACTGGCTATCACTTAAGTAGCTGTCTTATTTGGGAAAGCCTGCTGGGCTGTTTATGATTGGTTGTTCTTACATTTCATTTTCTCCAACAGGAGTACATTTAGGAATTGATCCTGGCTTAGGTTTTGGCTTGCTTATGTAAGCTACCAAGGCATTAGAGTCATCTCTGTTTAACAGTCACATGTTTAATTAATTTAACAGCACTAACAATCCATTTGATTTGGATTCATTCAGTCTAGTGGCAAAGTCTGAGCCATCAGACTCAGCAGTCTAAGTCATTGGTCCACACCCTTATGCCCAGTTACCATGGAACTGTGGATAGAATTGGCCTTTCCAATCTTTACCTCTTTTACCACATATCACAGAAGAATTTTACTTCAAGGGACAGAAGCAGTGGGAAGAGGTAAGGGAAGCAGGGGCAGGAATTATTATAATTATTTTTTAAAGCAGAATGTTTTAATAGAAACAAGTAGTGAATGTTTGCATTGGAAGTAAAGAAAATTAAAATATTTCAAAATGTGAGGGGAAACACACGTGGACACAAAGATACACACACACTCCATATGTCCACATGTTTCAGGAATATGAATGAGCAAAGTGGACTTAAAGTTTTCAACTGAATTATCATTTATTCTTTGTAGATTGTCTTTTCATATCTAATATAACAACGTCAATTTTGTTATCTTAAAAAAAAAAAAAAGCCTTGCCTTCAATGTTCTGACACCTTTCAAAACATGATACTTTAGGAATTTTTAACTGAAACTAATCATGAATGTATTTGTTCATTATTTCCCTCCTGCTATTATAACAGACTTCAACTTTGATATGAAAAACCTTCAGCAGTTTCTTATTTCTTCTACATGAAAAAATGGATAATTAGTGAGTTAGTAAGGCTGATTAGCATTTTTTTTAAATCTGCCCATTTAGCTGCTAAATTTGTATCAGTTTCAACATAATGATGTTCATAATAAGATATGATTTTCTGGGAGTTATAAAATTTCAGAAAGCTGAAATTTAGCAGCCTCTGAATAAAAAAAAATTATGTGCATATGATTTCATTTAAGTTTGCATATCATATTTAATTATTTTAATAACTTGTCTTGGCATACTTTTCTAAGACCCATAATCCTACACATTTTGTGGCTAAAAAAAAATTAAATAAATAAATAAAACCCAAAGAACTAGACGTATGTATTTTATAATAATACCAGATGTTCCATCATTTTAGCAATGTGAAACATGTGATGATATTTTGTCAGTCTGAAAATTATAAGCTATATTCAAACTAGGATGTAAGATTGTTAATACTAAGAATACCATGTCTTTCACTGTAATAGTTTGCATCTTCACCTTCATTTTCAAATCCTTTCTTATTCTTCTTTCATTTCTATCACAGCTAATATTTCATTTTCTCTGCTCTTCTTCAGTTGTTTCCCTTCCTTCATTTTATTTAGAATAATTAATGGGAAAACCTTAAATAAAAAAACAATAATGTATCAAAATATATGTTGGAAATGATTGTTTAGGGTTGCCTGAGTGGCTCAGTCTGTTAACTCCAACTCTTGATTCTTGGGGCAGGTCATGATCGCACAGTCCTGAGATGAAATTCTGTGTTGGGCTCCATGCTGGGGGTGGAGCCTGCCTGAGATCCTCTCTCCCTTTCCCTGTACCCCTCGCCTCACTTTAAAACAAAACAAAAGCTCCAAGATGATTGGGCTCTATTACAAAACTATAATCATCAAGACAATATGGCACTGGCACAAAAATATACGCATAGATCAGTGGAACAAAATAGACAACCCAGAAATGGACCCTCAACTCTATGGTCAACTAATCTTTGACAAAGCAGGAAAGAATATCCAGTGGAAAAAAGATAGTCTCTTCAACAAATAATGTTGGGAAAAGTGGACAGCCACATGCAGAAGAATGAAACTGGACTATTCCCTTACACCATACACAAAAATAGACTCAAAATGGATGAAAGAGCTAAATGTGAAAGAGGAATCCACCAAAATCCTTGAGTGGATCACAGGCAGCAAACTCTTCCATCTCAGCTACAGCAATTTCTGCTAGTCACATCTCCAAAAGCAAAGGAAACAAAGGCAAAAATGAACCATTGGGACTTCATCAAGATAAAAAGATTTTGCACAGCAAAAGAAACAGTCAACAAACTAAAAAGACAACCAACAGAATGGGAGAAGATATTTGCAAATGACATATCAGATAAAGGGCTAGTATCCAAAATCTATACAGAATTTATCAAACTCAACACCTAAAGAACAAATAATACAATCAAGAAATGGGAAGAAGATATGAACAGACACTTCTGCAAAGAAGACATCCAAATGGCCAACAGACACATGAAAAAGTGCTTAACATCACTTGACATCAGTGAAATACAAATCAAAACGTCAATGAAATAACATTTCACACCAGCCAGAATGGCTAAAACTAACAAGTCAGGAAATGACAGGTGTTGGTGAGGATGCAGGGAAAGAGGAACCCTCCTACACTGTTGGTGGGAATGCAATCTGGTGCAGCCACTCTGGAAAACAGTCTGGAGGTTCCCCAACAAATTGAAAATAGAGCTACCCTACAACCCAGCAGTAGCACTACTGGGTGCAGTACTGGGTTTTTAACCCCAAAGATACAAATGTAGTGATCTGAAGGGACCCCAAAGTTTATATAATCAATATCCACAATAGCCAAACTATGAAACCCAGATGTCCATCAACTGATGCGTAGATGAAGAAGATACGGTATACATATACAATGGAATACCACTCGGCCATCAAAAAAAAAAAAAATCTTGCTATTTGCAATGACATGAATGGAACTAGAGGGTATTATGCTAAGCAAAATAAGTTGATCAGAGAAAGACAATTATCATATGATATCACCCATATGTGGAATTTAAAGAATAAAACAGAAGATCATGGGGAAGAGAAGGAAAAATAAAGCAAGATGAAACCAGAGAGGAAATAAACCATAAGAGACTCTTACTCTTAAGAAGCAAACTGAGGGTTGCTGCGGTATGGGGGGATGGAATATCTGGGTGATGGATTTTGGGGAGGGTATATGTTGTGGTGTGTGCTGGGTGTTGAGTAAGACTGATGAATCACTTACCTGTACACCTGAAACAAATTAATCAAAAGAAGAAAAGAAAGATATCCAACACAATATGATAAATAATGAATTTTAAAATTCTAAGTTGTCTTTTAAGAGAAAAGGATCATTAAAGGTATAAAAAGATAGCAAATTACTGATCCTGTAAAATAATTACAACACAGAAAATTTTTAAATACCAGATAAAAAAAAAATTTAAAAAGAAGTGTTAAATTCATGGCTGACCTGATAAAATGAAAGGAAAATCATCAGGCCAGAATAAGAGAAGGAAAGGACTTCAGAGATATAGCCAGGCAGTAGAGCTGAAGACTGCCCTGGGGGTGTGGGCAGTTCCCAGTGATAAATGTCTTTGTTTCAGTAGCCTAGGGGAGAGAAGAGAGTAGACAAGAGACAGAGCCTCAGGCCTTTGGAACAAGCTAAAACCCCAGAGTCTTAGCTTCAGGGTAAAATAAAAACCTCCATACAAAAGGAGATGGAAAAGAAACTTGTCTATTTGGACTATTGCTATGGATGGAAAGAAGAAGAAAAGTAGAATTTATGACGACAATAAACCCTCTAGGTCCATAGAGAACTCAGCTAAATTCACACTTGCCGTGTGTTCCAAAACCTAATTAATTTTGAGTAGGCAACAATTTCAAGTGCCATAATCTGAGAGCAAAACATTGCTATCAATTAAATACTTACTGGTGGTATGTTGGTAGCATTACCAGTAAGATTATAAATAATTTGAGGCAGAATGCCCAACACCACTTTGAATTAATATGTACTTCTGGTCTTAGCTATGATAGGGAAACCAAGGTGAATAAATAAATACAGAAACAAAATAAAATAATGTAAAATAAAATAAATATTGTAGGGGTGCTTCAGTCGGTGGACCATGCAACTTTTCACTAGGGCTTGTGGATTCAAGCCCCACGTTAGGTGTAGAGATTACATAAAAATTAAAAACAAAAATTTTTTAAAACAAGTAAACATTGTAAACTCTCAGGAAAGAATAAAGAGGAATTTTTGTGACTACAAATTACATGGAGATTAAATAAGATGTTAAAAGCATTAGGTGAATACACATTTTTTTTTTAAATGGGAACCACAGGAAGGAATGCAGACTATGACAAAATAATCTAAAGAATATAAATATAAACATAAGGAAATAAAAATATACATTGTAAATATGTGAGATATCCTCAAAGAAGTGGGTCTGGGGGGAAAACAGGATTGACCTCAGTAACTTTGGGAAACTGTGTTTGAGTAAAAACTTTGTCTTAAACCACAAGAAACTGTGTATAGCTCTAAGTTGATTAATTTGTTTCACTTGGGAATCTGAGTAAAAATCCTGAAACTGCTATCTGTGCACACTGAGTTCAAACCCATTAGTCAATGAGTGATGACAAATCATGGAGATATGCTCAGTGGACATAGGAACCACACCTACAGAGCTTCCAATGACCAAAGCTGGAAGAGGTTGAGCAGCAAAATAAATAACATAGTACAGCATTACAATCCAAAGTATAAAATACACATAATTAAGTCTAATATGAATGAATAAATGAATTCTGATATAAATGGATGGATGGATGGATGATGGATGGATGGATGGATGGATGGATGGATGGATGGATGGATGGACAAATGAATGAATAGCTGAGATAACAGACAAGTCTTCCTTACAGAATAATTTCAAATATTTTATGTAGATACTCCCCACTCCAATATATAGGGTATAACCCATCTTTCCTTGAGGCTGGACCAAGTGATTGCTTTTAAATAAGTAAGTGTGGAAGAAGGTAAAAATTAACTTTACAGATAAGACACTGATAAACAATATTTTCACCGGTGACCCAGGTTAACATCATCAGTGTAACTAATGTAGATATATTCTTACCGGTATGATGAAATGAGAAGACATTTCATCTCTGTGTTATTCTTCTCCAAATCCCTAACCTCAGATTAATAATGATAAAAACATTAGAAAATCCAAATTGTAAAACATCCTACAAAATACCTGGCAATACTCCTCAGAACTGTTAATATCATCAAAAACAAAAAGACAATGAAAAGTCACAGATCAGAGAATTTTAAGTAGGCATGATAGCAAAATAAAGTGTTGTGTTCTTAATTTGATTCCAGAACAGAAAAAGGACATTAGTGGAAAAACTGGAGAAATTAAAATAAAATATGGAGTTTCTTTGCTTAATATAATGTACAAACATTTATTTCTTAGTTGTGAAAAATGTACCATAGTTATGATTTTAGGGAAAAAGGAAAACTCTTGGGGGG